CAGAGAGAGAGGAGGAAGCAGGCTCCCCGCTGAGCAGAGAGCCCGATGTGGGGCTCGATCCCAGGACCCTGAGATCACGACCCAAGCTGAAAGCAGAGGTTTAATCCACTGAGCCACCCAGGCGCCCCGTAATAAATAAAATCTTAAAAAAAAGATTTTAGGGGCACCTGGGTGGCTCAGGCCCTTAAGCGGCTGCCTTCTGTTCAGGTCATGATCCCAGTCTCCTGGGATCGAGCCCCGAATCATCGGGCTCCTAGCTCAGCGGGATGCCTGCTTCTGCCTCTTCCACTCCCCCTGCTTGTGTTCCCTCTCTCGCTGTGTCTCTGTCAAATTAATAAATAAAATCTTTTTTTTTAAGATTTTATTTATTTATTTGACAGAGATCACAAGTAGGCAGAGAGGCAGGCAGAGAGAGAGGAGGAAGCAGGCTCCCCGCTGAGCAGAGAGCCCGATACGGGGCTCGATCCCAGGACCCTGGGATCATGATCTGAGCTGAAGGCAGAGGCTTAACCCACTGAGCCACCCAGGCGCCCCTCAAACAGATTTTTTAAAAATATTTTATTTATTTGGCAGAGATCACAAGTAGGCAGAGAGGCAGGCAGAGAGAAAGGAGGAAGCAGGCTCCCTGCTGAACAGAGAGCCCGGATGCGGGGCTCGATCCCAGCACCCTGAGATCATGACCTGAGCCAAAGGCAGAGGCTTAACCCACTGTGCCACCTAGGCGCCCTCGAAACAGATTTTTAATTCTAACCAGGCGGCTCCCAGAAAGACTCAAAGCGTGCATTTCAACCCTTTCTTGACGTCTAATACTAAAACAGACTGACCTTTTAAGATGGGCACAAGCGCGGGTGATAAGGGCAACACTGGAAATCGAGAGAACATCATAAGCAAAGACAAGTGGAAATCTGTCCAGTGTCTTGGAGGGATGCGCGCTAATAACGGTGCACAGGAGGAGAGGATGTGATCGCAGAAGAGGCCAATGTACGTCGAAGCTAAATCGCGGGGATCCTGATAGATTGGTTATGGAATTTTAGCCGTTCGGTGAAGACTGGAAAGCCCCAGGGAGCACGCCAGATTCCAAGGAAGGCCGGACCAGAGCTTGAACTATTCCCACTGGGAGCCTCCTTCACCTACCTACCGCCTCACCTGCTCCGCGGAACACTCTGCGTCCAAAGAAAATTTCTCGGATTCCGCCAGCCCCCTCCCCGGACTCGCGGGGCTCACTTGCGGAAGATCACGCGGACCTTCCAGTGGACCGCCAAGACGCAAGCCCTGAATAGACAGGCCCGTCGCACAAAAGTGACGTGATGACGTACGCACACGCGACTTACGCGTCCTGAGTGTCGCAGGGGCGGATCAGGAGGGCGGGGCGATGGGAGAGGAGGAGACGTGATCGGAGGGCCAGATGGGTGTTGCACTAGTGATCCAGAAGGGTCTACTGAAGTGACCCAGTCTCTGTAGTATTCGGGCAGTAAAGACCGAGCAACAGCATTAAAAAAAATAAAAAAAAAAAACAAACACAAAACCAAAACCAAAAACTGGAAGGCCTTTCGGCTGCAGTGACGCGGAACGTTTTTTTGGCCAGAAACCGAAAGAAGAAATCGGAAGTGACGTCGCGGTCAAAACAAGCCGGGGTTTGGGGGCCTGCTGTGAATCTGTGGCTGCAGATGGAAAGGCCCGACTCGCTGTCGGCTGTCGAAGGTAGTCGCGAGACCCTGCGCTCCCGCCCAGTCGGCCTCCCGCCCCTGTCCCCCTGACTCTTCCGCCGTGGGTGAACCAGAGTTTCCTCCCGCGGTCCTTGAGCTGTGGTGGGATTTTTCGGGCAGAGTTGGCGGGTGGCGACCGAGCGGACTTCCCTTCCTACAAGTGTCCCCTCTAGCGAGCTTCTGTCTTGGGACGCTGGGACACCTGTCGCCTGTGAGGCATCATTCATTTTCATAGCACCTTCCTTTTCTTGTAGGACGACTTCAGGATTAGGAAGAACCGGGGGGGCTCCACTGCGGGCTAGCACAGTCGCCCAGCGTGTCTCTCCCTTCATCCCTGGGCTCTGACGGATCGAGGTGATCCTAGGCCATACCTCTTTTTCTCTCCGCCTCCTACTCTTGATCATATTTCCCCTTCCTTCTCCTAGTCTTCAAAATCTTAGCTTAACCAGTCAATTTGGCTCTTCTCCTATAGAGCCGTGGCAAGACAGCGTTCTGTTTTCACTTCCTCCTTTCCCAGGTTCTCCGCTCAAAGGCCGGTAGTTCCATTCCGTCTATAAACCCTGATTTATGACATGGAAGATGTTTAGAGCTAGAAAGAGTATTAGAGATGTCTGTTTCAACCACCCACATTGTATAGATTAATAAAATGAGTTTCGGAAAACGTATGTGATTTTTCTTTCCAGGGTTGCACAGCTAGTTATAAGTGACGTTGAACATGCAAAGCCGAATCTAATTAGCAAGCCTTTGTTGAGCATCTTGCAGGGTCATTTCAGGATAGAAAAGAATATAAAACGATGTTCGTATTCAAATCGGAAAACACTTCTGGAACACCTGGTAGGATCAGGCTCTGCTTGTGTGCAAAGATTAGTAAGAGTGTTCTCCATCCTAGAGAAGTTTTCAGTTTCTTTGGAGTAAGTGGATACTTT